CCTGCGGAACTGTAAAAGGTCCCGCAGGGCCCTGATGTCCTCTGGAAGCTCATTCCATCAGTGAGGGGCCACCACCGAAAAGGCCCTGGCCCTCGTTGAAGCCAACCTGGCGTCTTTAGGCCCCGGAAGAACCAGGTGATTTTGGGATCCCAATCTTAGTGCTCACTGGGGTACATGCGGGGAGAGGCGGTCCCTCAGGTAAGCAGGTCCCTGGCCCTATAGGGCTTTAAAGGTAAGAACCAGCACCTTGAACCATATCTGGTATGCTACGGGCAGCCAGTGCAGGGTTTTTAGGGTGGGCTGGATGTGTTTCCAGGCTTGTATTAAGCATACTCGGCTTAATAGAAGCCCTGGGTCCTTATCGAGATAGACCTCCTCAGTCTCAGAAAGCACAGCATGATGATTTATCTGGAACTTGATTTCTTAGATTTATTATAACTAGTTAGTTAAGCTTTATTGAAGATTAATACTGTCCTCTTTTTCTCTCCTACTTTATATTTTAGGAAAATGGGCTTATTGTACTTGGTGTTTGTTTTTGTAATCGTTTCATAATCTCTTTTGCAAAAACAAAAGAACGGGGGGGGGATTTTTTTAAGGCACTGCATTCACTTTCACATGTTTATCCATTCATTCACTGCTTTACTGCAAAAGTGCAAAATTGCTTCGGTGGTGGTGGAAATTCTTGGTGACATGAACTAGCCATTCAGTCCCAAGCAGACCATACAGCTTCTGCTGCAGACACCCCAGACTTCCCTCCCCCTCTTGATTTTGAACTTTGAACCTGTAGAAGAATCTCTATCGTTCGACTGGCTGCAATGAGAGTCCCACCAGATCTTGTTTGGAAACGGTTGGTCTATCTTCAGCCACAGAAAATTATACTACTCTTTACTGAAAAAAGAAAACTTACTAAATACAAATGCTTGTGAGGAATCCTATTTTGTTTCTTCCTTAATAGTTTACTTTGGGTGTTTCTCAGGATGGCAAGCTAGTTCAGAATAGAAGCTCAGCTTAAAAACGAACAAGTTATTTGTACCTTCTGTTTGTAAAAAGCAGAAACTGTTTATTCTGTCTCTTAGAGTCCTGTTCAGTGACATTTGGGTGGAGACCTGACAGAGACTGCAGTGGGGAGGGAGAGAGAACAGGTGTGGCGGTCAAAGGCAGGCGACTGCGTATTGCACAATGGGATGGAATGTGATGCCTTAGTCCTTAGAGAAAACACCATTGCTCAGGGATCCATAAATAGCACAGAGGTTTTAGTGTCATTTGAAGAAGGAAGGCAGGTGAATCTAAATCAACCTGAACAGGAAAGCACAGTGTCACTCTAATATAGTGGTGGGGGTCTGGAATAACAATTATGCTGAGTGAGCAACAGAGTAGGGCTCCCCAATACAGCACCGGATGCATGCAGTCCCATCCAAAAGACGTTTATTAAAACATAAGTCCCACTGAAGCCAGCGAGACTCACTTCCTGGTTTGGGTGGGTAACATTGCAGCCAAGAAGCCTGACCCAGTGTGTGTGTTCCTCAGAGCTCCTTTAGTCCTGAGGTAAGTATGCAGCCTGTAGCCTTTGCCAGCTCTAAGGGCAAGTGTTCACCTGGGTGGCCAAAATTCCAGGGCCCCCTTCTTCAGCTGGGTAGATGAACTTGGAGAGAAAGCAGCTGTCTACATTTGTAGGGGAGGAGCAGGAAGCCAATTGGCAGTGATTCCCCTGCATTCCAGGTGTATCTGCACCTCCTCCTACCCATCCATTTAATCAGGTCAGGCTGACCCTGTTTGTTCTGTTCAACAGATCCTGCAAACACAATCAAAATGATTCAAGGAAGGGCAAATGTGGGCTTAACTCTCTTTTTCAAAGCATGCTTGATAGGCCAAGCAGAGATTCTAAATGTGCTTTAAAAGCACCCAGGCACACTGGGATTTTAAAGGATTTCCCCCCCACATAGGGCTTCTTAAAACAATTATTTTTTTGGTTTGTTTATTAATATTAGGGGGGAAAGGTAAAAATCTAATACTGCCAAGCTGTTTATAATGCAATGAAGCTGCCTTGACTCTTTACCTTAGAAAACTGAGTGAGATCTGTGCCTGGAGTGGGGACCAGTCCATTGGGGGGGGGGAATGAGACAGACACACAGTGCTGGGGAGAAGCAGGTAGGGTTGCCAAGCCCCTCCTGGCCACCGGTGGGGGGATGGGGGGTAGGGTTGCCAGGTCCAGGTTGGAAAACTCTTGGAGATTTGGGGGTGGAGCCTGGGGAGGACAGGGACCTCAGTGGGGTACAGTGCCTTAGAGTCTACCCTCCAAAGCAGCCAGTTACTCCAGGGAACTGATCTCTGTCTTCTGGAGATGAGCTGTAACTCTGGGGGATCCCCAGGTCTCACCTGGAGACTGGCATCTCTAGAATCAGGCCACAACTTTATTGATTACAAGTTCTTCAGGTTTTGGTGCAGCATAGGCTCAGGACAGTGGGTGCAGTTGATAGCTGTCAGCACCTTCCCCAACCTGCCTGTTGGGGTCACCAAGGGCAGAGAACTGGTATTAAGGCAGGAAGTGGCCGAAACTGCTATTCTGACCCATCACTATCCTCCTGTGGGTGTGCTCAGTGTGTCAGTCCTGAGGTGGTCTGTCATGCCCCCTGCCCCCACAGAGCCCCTTAAGGGGACCCCCCTTTTTGTTATGCAGGGACCCCACCTCGCACTATGTTCCTATAATGTACTGGGCTCAGACGCGTTAGCAAGTGATCAGCTCATATTTATTAGTGAAATTCAGCTCAACTAGAGACATAGCCAGGTTCGAACCCTGCTTTTATCCGTGCAGCACACAACACCCAACACACACCCCACTCCCATGATTGGCTATTTACAGTGTAAGAGTCCATCATAGGTCAACCTTAGGATCCGGGCAAACCTATTGGTCTGCACTAGGATCTGAGTAGGCTATTGTTCTAAATCCTGAAGGTGCACTAAATTGCATGGCTTCCTTAGCGCTACGTGTCCAGACATGTCCGTATCAATACATAACAGTTCCAAAGCCAATGCCTAAACGCCAGCAGCCAGTTGTGATGGATATACTCTTATTAACAGCACAATCGAAGATACACAGTATATATACTCTTTGCTATGGGGAAGGCAAAAAGCCTATGAGCCAATCAGAACCCTAGGTAAAATTCCTTCCCAGCCCTGTTAACCAGCAGCCCCACTGCAGACATAGCAAAGGATGGGTAGACCACTGCAGACATAGCAAAGGATGGGTAGACCACTGAAATAAACTCTGAAGCTTGAGGTGGGAAAGTGGGTCTTTGCCAGGAGAGAATTCCTGAATGTCCAACACTCCATCAGCTCGTTCCCTTTCTATCTGAGCTGCGGAAAAGAGAGAAGCCTGCAGCCCCCAGATCCAACACCCTACCCCAGCCCCGTAGCTAGGGAATTCTTTGGGAGGGGGCCTCAGGGGGCCCACCAGCTAATTAAATGAAAGTACAGTGCAGGAGGTAAGTTGGAGCACTTTGGGGTCAGCCCAGGAGGGAGGGCCCCCAGAAGAAACACTAGGGGGCCAGGCCCCCTGGGCCCCGTGCTAGCTACGGGCCAGCCCTACCCCTCCATCGATGGGGTGGCCCCTGGAGGTGGGCGGCAGGAAGCTACTTGAGAGCTATCTGGCTGACAGCCAATGCTGGGCCCAACTGCCCGCAGTCATCCTCCCCATCCACCCTCAGCACAAATGATGATGTTCCAGTTTAAGGCTGAGAGATGTTAAGCGACATGTTCAAGTCTGCCCAAGAGTCGCCTTTTGTTGATAGCTTAGCATAGGGTATTGGAAATGCAATTTATGTTCCTATTTCAAGTTAAATGTGAGTGTTGGTAAAATGTAATCAAACTCAGTATAGATCTACAACTGAATACGGAGCCTTGTGAGTGTGGTTGGCATACGGAAGTGTACTTGTAGTTATGCTTGGTGATAGGTGGCCAGAGGGGATACCAGGGATGGGCAAGAACGAAAAGAAGGTGTTTGGAGTCCATGAGATTCCTTAGGGTAGAGAAAAATGGGGTATAAAAGCTCCTCCTCCTCCTTCATATTAATCATCACACAACAACTGAATACGGAGCCTTGTGAGTGTGTTTGGCATATGGAAGTGTACTTGTAGTTATGCTTGATGATTGGTGGCCAGAGGAGATACCAGGGATGGGCACGAACGAAAAGAAGGTGCTTGGGGTCCATGAGATTCCTTAGGGTAGAGAAAAATGGGGTATAAAAGCTCCTCCTTCATATTAATCATCACACATACATTTATTTATATGTAGTCCAGTTCTTTTACTGGTCTAGATGGATGAATTTGTTTCTACTATGATGCTGTTTGAAAGAAGCTGCAATAGGACATTGCTCATTTGTAGAAATCTAGACAGAACCAAAGTGATATGGGGCAAATGCAGGATTACCACCTCTCCTAGAAAGACAAAAAATAATTTTGATGTTGATTACTTACCACTGAGGGGTGACAATCGATGCACATGCCATGTCTGGGG